TATGGAAAACTGAAGAAAATGTGGGATGAACTTGCGGTTTATAAACCTATCAGGACGTGTAGCTGTGGAGAACTGGCACAGCAATTGGAGGAAGATAGGAATGAAGAAAAGACAAACACATTCTTGAATGGGTTGGATACAACGAGATTTGGGACAGTGCGTTCAACCATAACCAGCATTGAGCCACTTCCCAAGCTCACACAAGTGTATCAGAGGATTGTTCGAGAAGAGCGACAGCAAACCATAGCAAGGAACCGAGATACTCCAGCTGAGGTTGTGGGTTTCTCAGCGAATGCAGCGACCCGTTTTGCCTCAAAAGAGATGGTATGTGGGCATTGTGGAAAGACTGGACACACAAAATCTGATTGCTATCAGTTGATTGGTTACCCTGAGCATTGGGGTGAGAGAAGCAGAGACTTCACTGAACGAGGAAGAGGAGGCAGAGGTCGTGGAAGATTTGGTCGTGGTGGTGGTGCAGCAGGTCGCAGTGGTGGTAGAGGAGCCTATGGACGTGCTCATATGGCACAAATGCCTCATGTCGCAGCAAATTCAGCCAAGAAAGAAAGTGCCTATGATCGCCAATCTCTACCGCAACTCAATGATGATCAATGGACTGCACTTCTCAGTTTTCTGTCAACTCAAAGATCAGAAAATGCAGAGAGTAGTGAAAAGCTGAATGGTAAGAAAGAAAACGGAGAATTTATCATTGATACTGGCGCGTCACACCATATGACATGGAATCTGAGTTATTTGTCTAATGTTACTGATATTTCTCCTTGTAATATTGGTTTACCGGATGGCAAGAGTGCTATTGCCATAAAACAGGGAGACTTGTGTCTTGGAGGAGATTTATGGTTGAAAGGAGTCTTGTATTCTAAAGACTTGACTTGCTCGTTAATCTCAGTAGCAAAGTTGCTTAAAGCAGTTAAGGGTTCAATAACATTCACTGATGAGTTATGTATATTGCAGGACCGTACGACGAAGACGCTGATGGGAGCGGGTGAAGAGTGTGGAGGGGTCTATGTCTTTAGAGGAGTCATCGGTGCAAGGGTACACAAGGCAGTGAGCTCGAGATCGCATAATCTTTGGCATCGTCGCCTTGGGCATCCTTCTAGCCGTGTTTTATCCTATTTATCGAGTACTGTTGAAGTTGGAAAACTAGTTGACTCAGATTTGAGTTGTGATGTTTGTTTGAGGGCAAAACAAACCCGAGATTCTTTTCATGAAAGTTATAATAAAGCTGCTGGTGTTTTTGATTTAATCCATTGTGATATATGGGGTGCGTATAGAACATTATCATCAAATGGATCTGCATATTTTCTTACAATAGTCGATGACTATTCCCGGGCAGTGTGGATTTATTTACTTAAGGAGAAGAGTGAAGTCGCAGGAACACTTATAAGCTTTTTCTCTATGGTAGAACGCCAATTTGATAAGAAGGTGAGAGTGCTTCGCAGTGACAACGGTGGAGAGTTTATGTGCTTGAAGTCGTATTTTGCTAAAGAAGGAATATTGCACCAGACATCATGTGTATACACGCCTCAACAAAATGGCCACGTAGAAAGAAAACATCGACATATTCTCAATGTTGCGAGATCATTTATGTTCCAGGCAAGTATACCGATAAGATTTTGGGGAGAATGTGTGTTAGCAGCTTGTCATGTGATGAATAGGACTCCATCAACCTTACTTCAGGGTAAGACGCCGTATGAGATGTTGTATGGAAAGACACCGGAGTTCAGTAGGTTGCGGGTATTTGGAAGTTTGTGTTTTGCCCATAAACAGTCGCGGGATAAGGATAAGTTCGGAGAGAGGAGTCGTCGATGTGTATTTGTTGGGTACCCATTTGGACAGAAGGGATGGCATGTGTATGATATCCAAAAGAAAGAATTCTTTGTTTCTCGAGATGTTGTATTCAACGAATCCGAGTTCCCATTTGCTACGATAACTCCAGATGTGTCATCTCCATTGACATACTCGTTTACACAAGCGGGTATGTACGATGAAGATTTTGTGGACACTCAGAGAGTTTTACCTTCACCTATTATGGAAGACAGGGGGAGTGATCAGACTGTTGAAACCAGTGATGACATAGAAGAAGAAGAACAACAACAACAACAACAAGGGGTCGAAGCTACACCAATTATTGAGGAAAATACGAATTTGGGAAGAGGTCACCGTCTAAAAACAAAACCGACTCGCCTCAATGATTATATGGTGTATAATGCTCGTTGCTCCATAGACCCTTCTCCACTTTCTCCTGCTCCGCCTGATACAGCGTCTTCAAAGGAAGGTACGGTACTATATCCGATATCTAACTATGTGTCTTGTGAAAACTTTTCTGCTGCGCATAGTGCATTTCTTGCAGCTGTGACAGAAGGTTATATACCCAAATCATATGCTGAGGCTGTAAAAGATAAAAGATGGCGCAATGCTATTTCGGGTGAGGTTGATGCTTTGGAGACTAAGGACACATGGTTTGTTACAGACCTTCCACCGGGAAAGAAGGCCANTCTAACTATGTGTCTTGTGAAAACTTTTCTGCTGCGCATAGTGCATTTCTTGCAGCTGTGACAGAAGGTTATATACCCAAATCATATGCTGAGGCTGTAAAAGATAAAAGATGGCGCAATGCTATTTCGGGTGAGGTTGATGCTTTGGAGACTAAGGACACATGGTTTGTTACAGACCTTCCACCGGGAAAGAAGGCCACACCATCACCACCACTGTAACACACCATCACCACCACTGTAAGGATTGTGAAATGACAGATTACTCAGGTCGGAGGTCATGTGATGCGACGCGCCAGAGTCGAGTAACCATGTTGCAGAGTCAGACATCATTGCTGGATTAGCACTTGGTGGCCACTGCTGTGGCTGTTGGTTCCACTGCTGATGCTGTGACTGTTGATTCCACTTCTGATGCTGTGGCTGTTGGTTCCACGAGTTGTTTAGCCTATGATGCTGTTGCTGTTGTGGCACTGATGTGGAAACCTTGACTATGCGAAACTCAGGACAGTACCTGGCACTATGGCCTTGTGTTCCACAAGTTTGACATCTGCCAAGGTAGGGTTTTGAAAATCGTTGCTGATTGGTGTTGTTGTGAGGGTTCCGATTCTGATTGCTGTTGTTGTTGTTGCGGCGCCATGGTTGATTCTGATTGGATCGAGTTTCAGTGGCATGAGCAACAATCGGAGTGACCGGAGCTGTTTCATTGCTCATGATAGTGGCTTCACGGTTTAGCAAACGCTCATGAAGTTCAGCGTATGAGATGGGTGTATCACGCCCATGGATTGCATCGATTTCAGGCTTGTAGTCATCACTAAGACCTGCAAGGACACGTTCAATGAGGTCTTCATGATCCATTGGTTTTCCCAAAAGAGCGAGATCATCTGCTTTGGATTTGATGGAAAGGAGATACTCGCTGATAGTCTTTGTGCCTTTGACACATCTTTCAATCTGAAGTTTGAGTTGTCGGATGTGCCCACGAGATGCGTTACCGAAGGTTGTGGCAAGGGTGGTCCAGACTTCTTTAGTTGTATTAGCGCTTGTGACCACAGATTGGACGGGAAGGGAGATCGAGCCTATCATGGAGCTGAAGAGGAGACGATCTTGACGGTGCCATGGAGCAAACTCCGGGTTCGGAGAGGAGACTCCGTTCACCATGATTGTTGACGGAGGTGCAGTGTTGGTGTCATCAATTAAGTGTTGTAACTCATGCCCTTCAAGTAACGCACGGACCTGTCGGCTCCCCATCACGTAGTTGAGATGAGTGAGTTTGGTTACACTTGACATGTTAACCGAGAGAAGAGAACTCTGAGGATCTTGTGTATTGAACACTGAGGTTCTTTCGGCCGTTGATTCTGACATGTTAGAGAGGAAGAAGAACTAGGGTTTGAGAACAGAGGAAGAAGGAGATGAGTGAAGGAGGCGGAAGAAAAAAAGAAATTGGAGCCTACAGCTCTGATACCATATTAGGTTATGGAATTGCTTGCTTGTATTGATCACAATAGATGTACATATATAGTTAGAGTACAAAGAGTATTAAGGGAACGTAATTACTGCAGTAATGATAGAGCCGTTAGAGCATAATTATATGCTGTCTAATATATACTTTCTATATGTCTTACATTACTAAAGGAAGATCATTCGTGTTTGTTTCTCCATCATCAGTAACTTCCTCCAAAATCTTCGCTCCTCCTCCTCCCCCTTCCGTCTTTCTCCAACTGTTTTCCTTAGGCTGAAGCAACTGAACCAACAGACTTGGATTCTGCATAACCATAACTAAAAAAGAAAGCATCTCTTGTTGACTCTCTTCCATCCCTTCAACTCTGTCTTCTAAGTGAAACATCAACATCAACGCCAACACTTTCTTATCCCCTTTCAAAATATCAACTTCTTTCCACAATTCACTCTTCTCAGACTTTCCCTGAGTAGGAGCAGCTGTAGCTTTGCTCTGATGCTCTCTACTCTGAACATTCTTCCTCCTGATTACATTCTTTAGCAACTCCTTTTCACCTCTCACAAACCAGTCATTCGCAAACTCATAACGATCTGTATCAACTTTTCTAAAACCCTGACACCAAAAAAAAAAAAAAAAACACTCTTTACTCTCACCAACCATAATTCTCACTATATTGAAAAGAAAACATCTTTATTAATAATTAGCATATACCCATTTCATCATTGACATAAAGTAATCAAATTTCTCAAAAAAGAAATCAACTTTACAGATTCCAAGTTTTCAAGAAACAACAAAAGGGCAATTCAAGAAAAGAAATCATTATCATTGATAGAGAGAGAGAGAGAGACTAACGTCGATGTTGAGCTGGCGGATGAAGCTAGAGAGGTTGCTGTGTTTGAAGTATTTGGGCAAGAGCTGAGCAGAGAAGACGGTCGTGTCAGATATAACGAAGCTATTATCTCCATTAGAACTCCACGAGATTATTGAATCAGTTGAGGAATAGTCCTCTGAAAAGCTTTATATCCTCTAGGAGATGGAGTTTGAAGTCTCAGAAGAGTGTGAAAACAGAAGCTTCCAAAGAAGGTTTTGTGGAGATGTATGTAGAGAGAGAGAGAGAGAGAGAGAAAGATCAGGTTAAGCTTTGATAAGAGCTGTCTTGTGACCTATTTTGTGTTCTTGGAAAACCTTTTAAAGTATAATAAAACTAACATAAAGTGTTTGGTGTTAGATTGATCTTTGAGTTTCATAACGCACAAAGTTGAAGTAAAAACTCAACATCCTTTATTGGAAAGGAATTAATAAAAGTAAGTAGTAATTTTAACTGTCTAGGCTCTCCCTAGTAATTTTGATCCAGATAAAATCCACAGGTTATATATGCTATAGCCTATAGGCATGGAGACTCAAACAAACAAAGTGCTTTTTTNTTAGATTGATCTTTGAGTTTCATAACGCACAAAGTTGAAGTAAAAACTCAACATCCTTTATTGGAAAGGAATTAATAAAAGTAAGTAGTAATTTTAACTGTCTAGGCTCTCCCTAGTAATTTTGATCCAGATAAAATCCACAGGTTATATATGCTATAGCCTATAGGCATGGAGACTCAAACAAACAAAGTGCTTTTTTTGAAGGGATTTGTAAAGCTTTTGAAAGAACTGCAAGCCGATGTACTCCTAAAGGCATGTGACGGTGATGAGAAGGCAGCTATTTGTGCCCATATGATTATTCTGGTTGTTATTTCTTCTCTAGATTCTTTTTGCTTTTACATAAAATTATTTCATTACTAATGTTTTTTCCTTGACATATATATATGTGGAACTTGTATAGTCTGCAAGATCAGAGGTGTTTAACAAATTTTTTGAATCAGACAATTTAAGGCTTCGTCCAGGCTGGAAACAACCACTCTCTCAGAGCTGAAAGAAGAAGAATTAGAAGCTCTTGTTGAGTTCATTTATAGCGATGGCTCTAAGCTTTCAAAGAAAGCGAAGCAACCGAAAAATATGAGTTTCCCCATCTATGTGATCTATTCAGAAACGAGCTTATGTCATTTCTTTGCTCTTCAAATTCTTGTACTCGCCCAAATATACGATTTCTAACTCTTACGAGTTTAAAAAAAACTCTAAGGAGTTCGAGTGTTTCGTCGTCGATCACCCAAATGTTACCATGGAGATAATGAAGGCTATTTTGCCGCCTAGTGACGATTGTTTTCATTGTCGTCGCTATTGACAGCAATGTGTTTATTTTCAGAGAAGAAAATCAACTGTTTAGTTTTGTCAAGTCTTATCAGATTTAATCGGACCAGGCCTCTTTTGTTGCAACTTTTTTTTTTAAGTTGATTTTTTCTGATTTTTTTTTGTTCTAAATTAATTATATTCCCCATTGGTGGAAACATAAAAAAAAATGATACATAGTTTTATGTATAGTCTGCAAGATCATATATGTTTACGAAGATGTTTGAACTAGATAAATGCAACACTTCTCCCAGGCTGGAGACAATCACTCTCTTGGACCTGAAACAAGAGCAGTTAGAGGTTTGTTGATCTCATTTATAGCAATATGGCTCAATGGTTTGAGAGAAAGGGAAGCAACATGTTAGATCACTATATTGTGCAACCGAAAAATCTGAGCTCATCTAAGTGACTTTTGAAGATATCTAATCAGAGCAGAGATAAAATAGTTCATAAAGTGCGACATAAATTTCTATACATAAGAAGGGTTTAACGTAGAATTGGTTGGAGTTTTCTTCAAAATGCGAACATTAAAGGGAATTTTACCTTGAAAACACCTCAAGGTAAGTATTATAGAAGAAGCAATTAACCTTACACAATAAGAGAGATTGACTTATTTGCCGAAGAGCACAAAATAAAAATGTATATTTTGTAGCTTTTTAGGTCAAAAATTTTCCTCTGAAATATAAAGAGGGTGTGGGAATCAAATGTGCCGGTTAACACACATATAGAGCTTTTGGCTGGGAGAGTTTTGGTGAGTCCTTTTAAGGTTGAGGAAAAACACTAAGGGTTCAGAAGTGTAAGTGGTTCAAAAACTTAGTACCAATCTTTGAACATGAGTGACTAGTTCAGTAAGACAAGGTATATCTTGAGCTTGGTGAAGAACTGCTTTTAACTGAAACTTATATGCGCATTTAAAAATATTAATCTAGTTGTATTACTTGAAAATAATTTACTTTGTGTTATTGTGTGTTCTAGTTCTTGTAGCAGGTAACTCTCATATTTACAATTGGTATCATAACGGTGATTTGTGTTTTCTAAACTTGTAAGGTTCCTGTGGAACAAATGGAAAGCTATCAAGAGTTACTATCAAATTCAAAAGTCATTTTGGATGCTGAGAACTATGGTTTTTGGGAAGTTAGGATGAAATCTACAATCAAAAGTATTGATCCAGTCGCATGGAAAGCATTGGATTCTGGATGGAGGCAACCAACAGCCAGAGGTGAAGATGGAAATGATGTAACCAAATCAGAGGAACTCTGGACATATGATGAAAACAAAAATGGTGAAATAATGGGTTTAGGATGTTAATGGTCTAACCTTGTGCATGTCCATTTTGTGTAACCTATTAAGAAACGCGTTACATGCTCAAGTTTTTACATCAAAACCCGTGAGGCCCGTGGGCAGCAGACCCATTTTAGCATCCCTACTGGGAACTATGGTTTTTACAAATTTAGGATGAAATCTACAATCAAAAGTATTCATCCACTCGCATGGAAAGCAGTGGATTCTAGATGGAAGCAACAAGCAGCCAAAGGTGAAGAAGGAAATGATGTATCTAAATCAGAGGAACTCTGAACAGATGATGAAAACAAAAATGGTAAACACAAAGTAAGAGTTCTCACGGCTATTCATTGTAGTGTTTCATGAAAAAAAATTGAATTGATTTAGGATGTGAACCAGGGAAAAATGAATGAGACATTCTCCAGAGGTACTTTGAAGGAATGAAAAAGTCTGGAGTTCTAAAAGAGACATGCTAGAAACTTATTTTGAAGATCTGAAAATGGATGAGCATGAATCTATTGTGGACTTCAGCTCCAATCTTTTTTCACTAGCACACAAAAATCTCACTCTTGGAAAAAAAAGAAAAGAAAAGAGACTAGTGAAGAAATTATTGAGATATCTACCTTCCAAAAGTATTTTTTTGTGTGTTTTCAGATTTAAAGTTTTTGATAAGTTTTCTACTTTATGTTGTTGTGTTAGCTTAAACATGTAGTGAGTTAGTGAATCATGAGCTAATACTGAAAGTTATGGTACTTGAAAGATATGTGGACCTCCTATATGTATGTGTTGTATCTAAGTTTTTTAGACAACTAATAAACAAAATTTAACTAACTATTCTCAGTCTTTATGCATATTTAACTAAGTATGATTTTCATGCATCTATATAAAGTGACATAATTCTTCACAAATTTAAGAAGTTATCAAGCAATTCTACTTGTGTTTGCTAGAAGTAAACAATTCTACATAACATAATTTTCTTATAAATGTACACTATCAATCTAAATTTTTTATTTTCTTTGTATCTAAATTATAATTGGTGCTGAAAGCAAAGAAAATTTACTACGAGGACCTGGAGAATGGATAGATCTTACTACAATATTGATTACAAAACCTACAATGGATATCTTAATATATTAGGTATAAATCTCATCACAAGTTGGAAGAATTTCGAACTGGCATAAAAGTGATCAGTCAATTTATCATCAACTATTTATTGCTTTTATTGTAGATGCTCATATAATTAAATATGGTACAAGTATCTGATATACGTCATCCAGCCCAATTTATATTCATTGATTCAAAAAGTTGCCCAAATATTACCCAAATATTTTGAGATTAATGGTCAAAGAAACCATTATCTCGAAGTAAAGTCTTACGGAAAAATCTCAAAACAAAATTTAAAAGATATCCTATATATAAGTTGTTGTTTCTCATGCGTGGGCTTAAGAATCTAACAAGCTTAGATTTGTCTGATTCAATGGATTTTTTTGGGAGCTTTCTAATGTAAGTATTCGTTTTTTGTTCTTCATACCAGTAATTAAGTATGAATTTCAAAGGTATAAAACTTGTATGTCTTTCTTCTTCTTTTTCTTTACTAGGATCACTCAACGAATATTTTAGATGAGTTAAGCGGTCTAACTTTGGTGAATTTTCTTTAAGAAAAAATATAATTGGAAATACATTTGTATTGAGTAAGTGTTTTTTATTAATTGTGAACATATTATGGAATAGAAAGCAATTTTATACATGTATTAAGTAAGTGTTATTATTAATCGTGACCAGATCACCAGAGTATAGGAATAGAAAGAAAATTTAAAATGTGAATAATCATCTTAAAATAAGACAACAAAACATAATGTAAAGAGCACATGAAATGTTTTAAAGGAAGCAGTGAAGAGCACAAAATTCATAAAAATTGTCCTTTTATTTGGTTTATTACACAAAGCAACTCAATAATACAAATGTTAATATGAATTGGGCTTTATTTTGTATTGAATCCAGTCTAGTGAAAGCCAAGCGTCGAAGGGGTAGTAGAGGTGACACACCCACGGGAGCAGATTAGTGGAAAGAACTAGAAACCCTAAATCTGGGCAGGATAGCGAGTGTCTGGACAGCAGGAGAGAGAGTCAAAATGATAATCATCTTAAACTACAACATGATAACACAAGTCAAAATCAACCTTTCATAACAAGCTTTTAAAACCAGAATAAACATGTAATCAACCGGTACCATTCTATAGAACCTCGAACCTTACACCATCCTTAACCTCCTACGAAGAACATTAACACGCAACCACTAAACATAAAAACAATGGACATCTAATAACACATACGCAATTTGATAAGATCCCACCCTAAATTAATATATCATCAACTTAGTTTTCATAACTTTGAGCATGCTAGCTACCCTGTTGGTTTCAGATTTCTATTCCAAGTATCATTTTTTAGAAAAAAACTATTTCAAGTATCATAATAAAATAAATTAAACTGATTATTACTCTTATTCCGACAAATATGAATTCCAGAATAGAAGCTACATACAACTTGAGAAATTTTTCAGTCCTCCATTATGGCCAAAATAGTCAAATAACATCAAACATTAAAAGATTTACATATAGTTCAACATACGCAACACAACTTCTAAAATCCAGAATTAAATCATACTGATCCGGTCCCAAACAAACATGAAATTAACCCAAAACACTAAAACTCACAAATAGTATGATCAAGTATATATATTATCTTCATTCCACCAAGATCATAAAAACCTAAAATATGCACTGACACGTTTCATTTTCTAGGGTAGATGATCTATTTACCCATGAGAACTATCTTATAGCATCAGATTTCCACCGAACTATGACCTCATGTTAGATTTCCACGAATTGAAAATTACAAGCCTATTTCTCCCCGAATCAATACTTCAAAACTTAATTACCCACATACGATGGTTTTATTGTTTTTAATTAGTTTTAATTGGTTTATTCTTAACCAAACATCTTAAAATCAAGTAAACAAAACCAAAATTCAATTTTGTATAATTTTTTTTATCAGTATCCATATGTGACGTATTTTTATTTTCTAATGAACAAAAAAAATCTTTTCCATTGTAAAATAAATCCATTAAATCCCCACCTGAATCACCGTAAACATTCTCATGTAAATATTTTAATGGGTTTATTTTACAAACGAAGAAGATTCTATTTTATTTATTTGAAAACAAAAATACATCACCAATGGAATATGATAAAAAAAGATATGCAAAAACTGAATTTTGGTTTGGTTTACTTGATTTTAAGATGTTTGGTTAGGAATAAACCAATTAATATCATTTATGTGGGTAATTAAGTTGTGAAGTATTAATTTAGGGAGAAGTAGATTTATAATTTTCAATTCGTGGGAATCT